TACATAACACAGAAAAGAGAAAATAGTAAAGAAAAGATGGCAGAGAGACAAATCAGGTAAGTGGGGACATGAAAACCCATCGCACAGTCAGTGGTCTACAGGGGCTATAGATCCTACCAATTTAAGAAGGTCAGGTCACAAAGCTGAAAGACTCCAATTAAACATCTGTTTTCCTCTCCTCATCATGGCTCAAAATCTTCCTAGCAAAACTGAGAACTAGGAATGTTACTGATATGCCAGGCATTTGGAAAGATTTCCCTCCACAAGATCAAAACAGAGCCACAGAATCAACAACCATGCCATTGAAAACTATGTGCCAGCTCACCTTCCGCAGCATGTCATTCTGTTCTACACTGCTGACCTTGCCAGGGCTGATTTCTCCTTTCAGAGTGTATTCAAAGAACTTCCCACTGACATTCACTAATAAGGTGTTGAAGGCCCTGTCTTCCTGAGTACAGCTGAGGGACTTGTCACGGCCACTGGTAGCAGGAGTGCCATATCTCAAGATCACCCCAACGATGAGCCCTGAAATAGAGCAAGAGGAAAAAAGGACATCAGGCCTGCAGAAGGATAGAGAATAGAAATAATGGCACTGTTAATTTCACAGGTTATGAGACGCAAAGAAAATCATAGAAGCCAGGTTGTATATCTGGCAGCAAATCCGAGGTCCTTCAGAAAGGGTTCAGCACCATCTATGCTGGTCTCATTTGAGTTCATTGGCCACCAGAAGGACAAGGTGGAAAAGTACCTTCGATGATTATTATGGCACTCTGAGTAGTTTTAACACATAATCACGTCTTATTTCTGGGCTTTTGGTAGAGGAAAATGGAATGATGAACAGTGAAGTTTTTTCTGCTTAGGACAGCACAAAGAGGAAATGCTGAGTCCTTGATTTTCAACAGACGCAATCCTCAAGCCAGTCCTACTACCATCTGCTAGCGAGGATCAGGCCACTGGAATTTCTGGTTGCTATAAATGCAGCTTGCTTTGCCACACACTGGGGCAGGATGGGGGATGTTTTTGCTTAGGTCACTTCAAGTCCTGGGTATCATGAAGAAAGTAATTACACCCTTTGGGAAACCAAATGCAGCAGTATAAATTTGAGAAGTCATGATTCAGGGATGGAGAGCTGACTTCTTGGGGCTGTGCCTACAAAACAGCTAAGATAATCAGATGCAAGTATTTAAGTCTCATTTCCTTCTTAGTAGAGTTTTCCAGTTAGAAAAAAAGTAAAAACAGCAAAATTCTGTATAAGTATTTATTCCATGAATGAGGAAGGAGTGTCACTTCCCGGGTCCTGGACATGAGTCACATATGGCAAAAAGCAAAAGTGAAAGAAAAAATAAAAACTATAACTGACTACCACACATGTGTATAATTATCTCTTCAAAAAATCTGATTTCTCTCTAAATTCAGTTCTTTGCTAGCAACATTAAAACAACAGTAAAAATGCTCTACCAGCTCATTGAGCATTAATGCAGAAAACTATATCTGAAAAAAAAGTGTTTACTATAATCTAAGTGTTATAGTTTGGCTCTTAAATGTTCCATAAAAAAAATGCATGTACTAAGGACTAGAATCCCACTTTGGTGATACTGGGAGACAGTGGAAGCCTTTAACAGATGGGCCTAGTGGGAGGTCTTAGGTTACTGGAGGTATGTGCTCTAAGGGGATAATGAGATTTCCATCCCTCCTCCCCCCTCCCCCCTCCTCCTTCCCCCTCCCCTCCCCCCTCCTCCC